ATAGCACTAAAATAAAATTCACCAAGATGAAAGAAACCTAACGTTCCGAATGCGAGGGCTTGACTATGGTTACATATCCATGACTATAGTTAATTTTGAATCAAGATTTCCGAAGACACAAATGCCGAGTTCCTCCCAAGCTTTAAGTGGAAGAAATGATGTGGTCAGAAAAAAAATGTGTGAAGAAAGGCATTTCGATGGATACATTAAAGTTCGCGGATGCATTCTGTGATGTTAAGATTTTTTATTTTATAAACGTCCTATGGCAGGTATTTCACGCGGAGAAGCAGAGGTATCCTGCAATAAATTATTAAAATTGTTCCGTGATATTTTCTCGCTTGCACTGACAGTCCATCTTTCCTTGGTTTATGCGCTTCAATCATTTAACTCGTTTTTTTTCTTGGCTTGTGCACAAATGCAATTTGAACGCGGGCACTTCCTGGCTTGTGCATAACTAACCAATCAGAATGCTGGCTTGTGCATGAATCGCATGCCATACTACAGTCACCACCTTCAGCAAGGTCTTGTCTTTCGCGCGCAGGTTTCAGTTCAAACCATAGATTATTAATGCCTGCATTCATCACCCTGTTTCTTTGTGCATTTCGCAACTTAGAATTCAGAAGCCCTGCGCCGAATGAATGAAGGTAAAGCAACCGAAACGACGGAACAAAAATCCGAGGGCCCAGAAAATATGAAGACGTTGAAGAACAATGAGCCACAAGCGACGGAAAAGGCCAACCATGTTCCACACTCTAAAACGGAGGATAAACAGGGGGAAACCGCAATTAAACCAAAAGAAGCTGATGCGTCTAACAAGGATACGAATGTTTCTTCTGTTAGCGGAATGGGTTCGATTGAAACGGGACCGGTGCCCCAACCAGATATGTTAAATATACCGCTTCACCCGATGAACCCGATGGAGTTTGACATGAACTACCTACCACCACCTCCAATGGAACCACCTGGAATCGGTCCAGGCCTTCCGGGTCCCTTACCAGATGGCATCCACAATCCACCTCCTCCAATGCCTGGTCCTGATCGAGAGTTTCCCGGATTTATGAACGAACATGAAGGCAGGCGAAAGAATGGCACGAAGAAACTGAGAGCAAGATTAAACTTTGACGAGGGAAAAGGGAAAAGTTTTGGAAAACATCCATTCGCGCACAAGTCGAGGGAGACGGGTAGAAAAAGTAAGCCAACAGGTGACGATAACCTGCTTCAGAAACTAAAGACAATGTTTTCCAATTCGCTCTTGGGCAAAGGTTCAAAGTCTTTGGAGAAGAAGACCACAGTGAAACCTAGAAAGTTTAGCGGAGACGCAATGCATCATCACAGACATTTCTTCCCACATCCAGTGCCACCAAGAGAAGCGCTGGGTGGACCTTTCCCACATGAAAACGGTCAACCACAACCTAATTGGCCTCACGGCCCGTTTGAAAACTACGGTCCTCCTGAATGGCCACCATTTGAAGGTGATCCATTCGTTCTGAATGAAATGATGGGACCTGGAGCATACGAAGGACCCGATTTCGCTGTAGAAGAGGGTGGTTATATCGACGAGTTTGGTGCGCAGGGCCACTACTTTGACGGACCTGAGTTGTCGCCAACGGATCCGGCTTTCTTTGACGGCTTCGATCCAATGCTACCCGAGTTCGCTCCGGACTACATTGAGGACCCGTTTGATGTACCGGAACACCATCACCATCCTCACTCGGTTCACGTGTCTGGAGTGAAAAGCAAAATAAAAAAACCTGCAAATTCAAGGTTACCCTCACATCAGTCGACACTGAAAGAAAGCGGTTCGTATCTGTTGGCTGCCAGGGTGTTGAGCCGACTACCAAACTCTAAAAAGCGCAGTACAAGGAGAACGATTGCACGCAGTTCCGATACGTCATATCCCAAATCAATCAGCTACTTACGTCGCCAAATTCATCGGTTGCGTCGCCAGGTGAAATATCTGAAGAAAAAACTAATCCATTGTCATGCTGTTCGCCGAAATTATCGTAACGTGATGCAAGCGCAACTGACGCAGCCACATAATGCCGCGCCGATGAGCAAAACTGCGATGCTGACTCCTCTAGTCATCGGAGGTTGTATTTGGAATAATCTCAAGTAAATGTTACGTTTCCCTTAAATAAATAATCCCAAAATTTTGTGACTGTTGAACTTGTTTCCTTTTACCATGCAAAAATTAGCGCCGCAGATAAGGGTGTCAGGTGAACTGAAGAGTGGTCTATATGACCAAACTGATCAGCCTGAGTGATATTCACAAAAATGGGAACTTCGCAAACCCCCACCTCTCTTGCCTTAGCAACCAACACAAGTTAGCAAGCAAGAATTCGTGTGTCCCCTTTGAATAGTTCAAAAATATTCGTCACTTCAGTTGACCTATGTGTAAAGGATGGAAGTACTCTGGTTGTATCCCCTTGGAATTCAAGGACATTCTTGGTTTCTTCAACTGTTATCAACAAGAAAGGTGACCACGCAAAGTGATTGAAAGTAATCACCACTTATTATTGATTGACAGTCTAAATTACAAGCTACTTATGAGGAGCAAATTCTTTATCACATCAGTGGTTTGACGCAATTCAAGAAAAGACCTGTCTGCGTTGGGAAGGTCTGAAAGTCCAATAAATTTGTGTGGCTTCCTGTACCCTGTGGTCTGTGTGTGCGTGAGAAGGGGTGTGAATAAGCACATCAGAGTGGTGTACATGGCCAAGTTAGCAAGACTATTGATTGGTTTGCTGACTGTTTTAAGCCCGCCTGAATGAAGAACTTCCACCGCCAGGAAACAAACGTAGGCAGCTTGGTTTTGGTACCGTCAGTGAACATTTTGAGTAATTCCGATATGGACATGGGAATTATAAGCGAGTAGTGAAACTCATGAGCACAAGGAGGATCAACAGTTCAGCAAAACAAATGTGCGTTTTCTGGAGGCACCTTATTTTTTGTTGTTGGTCCGCTCGCCGAGCTTGGCAGTTGGACTGCAAACGCCTCATCACTAAGCGAGGTGACATCGTCAGCGCGAGTCGGGTGGGTCCTCCACCTCGACTGGTGATACAAGTGCATAGCGTGTATCATGCTGTGAATCTAGTCTATCTTTCAACAGATCCACATACTCATGGAAAAGTCTGTTTTTTCTTCTTCCAAAGGATGTCACTGGCTGAGAATACTCACATATGCTGCAGGAAAGTAGGGAAGTCAATCATTATTCAACTTGACGTAGGCAACGCATTAGAATCCACAGGGTGTTGTCTGGTGGAAAAGTTGTGCACCGGAATCGCCAGCTTGCTAGATGAGATGCTCTCAGAGCCCTTAAATTATTTGCCGTGAAAACATCCATTTATTTGATCTTGGCCCAATTATGCGGCCAATGTTGCGGATCACTCACTATCTGAAGGAATCGGGGATAGACTGGGTAAGCTTGGTGCAAGACACAGTAATCAAAACTTGTGCTCGCCAGCTTTCCCAATAACGTCGTAAGTAAACAACACGTCAGCAGACGTTTACGAACATGCGCTCCACGAACATTCCGAGATTCCGCGAGAGCTTGCAAGTCTTATGGGTAACAGCCAGGCTTGGACCAACTACACCTCTCGAAAGTGGTAGGCAGAGTCAAGCCGGCCCGAGAGCTTGCAAGTCTTATGGGTAACAGCCAGGCTTGGATCAACTATACCTCTCGAAAGTGGTAGGCAGAGTCCAAGCCGGCCCTTGGGCGCACACCACAGATTTCCCTGAAACCGCAGTTTGAAAAAATGTATCTTTGACATAAAGCTTTAGTGTACCATGAAAATCTCCCCATGCGGCAACAGTTGTTTAAACGTACCCGAGTACCGCGAACGGTGCCAATTATTATTTAAATGGATGTCAATGACACATCATGATATCCCGTGAATGACCTGGGAAATTCTGTGCAAGAGCTGGTTTTTTCATGAGGCCAACTGCTTTGGAAGACTAGGTGGCAGGTGACGTCACACTACGAAGGCCCACGTGATCACCCATCTAGCAAGCTATCTACTGGATTAACAAACGGTGCGAATGACTACTATGGGAGAAGATAATGTGAAGAAGGTTCTTTTATTAGTACCAAAATTCTCGGTTAGGTCAGAAGGCGACGACGAAAGTCGTTGGGCGGCTGCTAATATTTCTAATGTCAAAGCCCGGTCTGAAATACATTTTCACGCCTTGTTAAACATTTCCTTCTACTTATCTCCACTGCAACTCAAGACAGCTCAGATGAACGGAGGATGTCGCCGGGACGAACCTCGAGTGTCGATAGGTAATCACGAAGTCATCACGCTCACAAATGGGGTCAATGGTATTTCGACGATATACTGCATTTTATCGCCCCAACATCACTTGTTTGTAACTCGAGTAAATTCAATTATTCCAATATTCAAACACTGATTTTGACGCCCACCGTCCAATGTGCAGGACCGGAAATTTGGTAGTCAAGCATCAGCTTAATGGAACCTCGCCAGCCCATCAGCTTGGCCTGCGTCAAAACCATAAGCTTTAGAGCCAGTTGGTGCATGCTATGACAAGTGCCGGCTATTACATTGTCACCTGTACTTCGCTGAGGACAGATCATTGGCAATTCTTTACCGGGCTGATGCCAGTTCACAACCAGTTTGGTCTCGTTCAGGTATAGATGACGCAGCTACCTCGTACGGAAATCCCTTAGCTTTACTTTCTCAGCTACCTCTGGTCGTTTTTTCGTCGATATCAATCAGGGTCTTTGCTGCGAATTTCACTGGAGTTTCACTGACGCTGCCGCAATGGTCGATTCATGCACAAGCCAAACTTAGGCAAATTATCGGTTTCCTTAAATCACGTGGCCTGTAAGACTGGTCCAAACAGGCTTAGTCGCTTAGCGGAGGTTTCAACCAACGGTACTTCAGGTTGCGATGGAATGGAGGGGGTAATGTTGTGCGCCTAGGCCGATGGGTTCGCAGTTCGAATCCGGAGACCATCGTGCGGCTTTTCTTCGACTTTCCCCATTAGCACTTTCCTTCACGGGACACTACAAATTTTGTTGACGGCCATTCATTGCATAAAGATATGGCAAAATTTGGTGGAAACAAAATTGCGTCCCTAGTAAGAAAAGTCTGATATATGTAGTTAAGGTTGATTTGAGATATCCGAAAACACAAATTTCGACTTTCTGTCAAAGTTTATTGAAAGAAATCACGTCAAAGATATCACGACAAGGTTGTGGAAAGTAAGACGTAAGTAAGTAAGCCGGTGGAAAGCATTTTAGGGCATGTGTGTATCTTTCGCAATGTTCAGTTTACGCATTTACCTCATTAAAGCTAAATTGTAGGCATCTTACGCGCACTACGCGGAAGCCCCCTGGAATAAATTCTTCAAATTTTTCTAGAATATTTTCTCCCTTGCTTTGACAGTACATGGTCCCTAAGTGTGTGCACTTTAAACAATTCCTTTTTTAACTTGGCTTGTGCGCAAATGCAGTTTGGCTGCGTGCGCTACCTGATTTGTACACAACTAGCCAATCAAGATGCTGGTTTTGTGCATTAACCACATATTCGCTGACGCCTCTTTCAATATCGTGCAGCGTTTGATGTTGGGGATTGAGTGGTGTTCGACGTTCGCGAGAATGTAGTGACAGCATACATCGGTTCGTGCGCTAATACACACGACAGAAAACCGCTCAGGTATGACAATAGGTATATCTCAAGGTCACGTAGAGGTGATTACAATCGGGCTACTCCTTGCCTGGGGCTGGTCGTGGACATAGTCCAGTTCCAATTGTGTCACAATCCTGGACATCAACGTTGCAGCCACCTATTATTTGACGCGCACCAGCAAACATTGATCGATGATAAGTCCGTGCTTGTCATTCCAAGGAAGTGGCTGACCATCTTTCAGACCATCCTTCTTACCCCCAAACTGAAGTAGCGTCGCTCTAATGTCACAGGGATCTATTGTGACGTTCAACAGTTGACGAAAACAAAGAGATTTAGTCCCACCGGTTCGGCAGTCAATAAACAGTTCAACGGAGCGAAAATACACTCGTTCAGCAAGAAGTCGGCAGGTCGCACCGGAAAATTTTGTATTCGTAACATTAAAACAAACGTCATGATGCAATGTGAACGACAGTTACAAAGTGTGGTTTAAGTTCAGGAAGAATGGTAAATGTGACAATGGATTACAGACACTACAGGCTTTAGCTGGGTAGCACCCTTCCATCGAATAGCACTCAGCTAAAAATCTGAATATGGTCATCAAGATTGCCTCAGATTAAACATCTTAGGTTGCTGCTGCGGCTGTATGAGGTTGTTTTCAACAGTACACGGATAGTGTGTGGAAACTATAAGCCCCTTTTTCGGAAGTGTCTACAGTCGTTTTGGGCTGGGTTCAGCTCTTTGGGAGCGAGCTACTGACCGTTTTCCACAGATTCAACGCTTGTTGTCTCATGGACAAATGATGTTACAAGCTTGCTTTCGAGGGCACAAGCGAAAGTTTTGCCTTTTGCCCTCGAAAACAACCAGATAATCACCAGGAGACCGCCACGTAAGTAACAACTCCTGGTTCAGCAGAAAGATATGCACAGCGTCTGGCAAGTTTAACCTTGGTGCTTATTTTTTTCCAGCGGACGCGCATTCTGTTGGTTGAACCAGGCATCAGCCTCGGACTTTGTGAGGGCACGGGCGTTCAATGCGGAAATTCATAGGCCTTGATACTGCCTACTCTACACCTCAGGGAGGTTTTTCGTCAGCACATGAAAGCTACGCCTGGCGGTATTCTACCTGAAGTAACTAGGTCCGGAATATGTGGATATACCCAACGCATTATGTTTGGCGCCTCGAACATTTTGCCCATCTGAACGCAACCACATCCGTGGAGCACAGCAAAGGCCTGTGTCAAGCGGAAACCAAGAACAGAAACCATTGGTGGGTGTACCCAAGCTTTACTTTACCTGAGGTCTACCACTGATGCCGTTCATCATATCACCAGATCAGAACCTAAGTTTGAAGTGGCTTTTGTTATCTTTTGTTGGTGGCTTTTCTTCGTTTAATTTACACATAAAAATGGAACGATCTGACTGACCACAAGAGTATAGGTTAAAAGGCAGCGACGCAAGGTATGACCGAATGCGGTGTCCCGTGGTAATGCGGTTATACGGTTGAGGAATAGCCACCACCC